AAGGGGCGTACGTTTTACCTGTTTCAAAGGTTTAAGCGGCACTTCTTCTTTAGTGTTGCCCTCCAAACGAGTGCTACATATGCGTAGTATGAGTCTGACGACACTGGCGTTGAGCATGGTGCATTGCTATGGTCGTTGGTCTCATTTTAGTGTAATAGCGGATTACTGGCCCTGCTTTCAAAATGTTCACTGCAGCTGAGTTTTTTTTTATCAAGGATTACTCGGAGATACTTAACAGAAACAGAGTTGGAGAGTAATATAAAATTATATCGTAAAGATTGTGGATTGAAGATAGATAGAGATAGATAGTTTTCTGATATTTACTGGGGAGTCCTTGTCTCTCAACTCTTCAATTTACAAACATACCTTTTTATGTCTGCTTGCTTTACTGGGGCAGACACCGTTTACGCGATTTTGGCGCCATTCGTTTCTTCTTTTTGCTGTTTGGCGCCAATTCGGAATACCAAGTTCAGCCATATCCTTCTTTACCTGGTCTTTCCAACGGAGTGGAGGTCTTCCTCTTCCTCTGCTTCCACCGGCTGGTACTGCATCGAAAACTTTCAAAGCTGGAGTATTCTCATTCATCCGGACCTAGCCAGCGTAGCCGCTGCTTTTTGATTCGCTGAACTATATCGATGTCGCCGTACAACAACTCATCGTTCCATCTTCTGCGATATTCGCCGTTGCCAATGCGCAAAGGACCATAAATCTTACACAAATACCTAAGCAACTAAAAGAGAATCCAGGGTAAAAATTGGATTAATAATTCCACTCTGTTGCTTGGAATTATCTCAGGATCAATGCTGTTTGTCGGATTAACTCCAACTCAGAATTCAGGATTCCTTCATTTTTACTTTCTGAGGGCAAAATTATAAATAAGACTAAGTCTTAGCAAAGTCAAACTTTCATTATAAGATTGCACAAATTTACAAAAAAAAAAAAAAAAAAATGGAACCCATTTTGACTGCATTGAGCACATTACATTTTATACCTATACATTCCATTCCACGTGATAGATATCCCTATGTAACAAATTCAAGTTTGCTTTGGGATGAAATGACTCATTCCAAGTTGGTGTTGAAGTTTCGTTTAGTAAAGCCGCCCGCCTTTCTGGACTAGCAGTTAAGGCAGGCTGAGGATCTAAGAAAGCTATTAAAAGGTTAAGACTTCTCTCAACGAACGAAGACCGAACTCCACAAGTCGTTCACTCTTCCGGTGCAGAGGTAAATGACAACATCAAATGTGTAGGCGTTAAGAGCTTTCGTTTGGTCTTGCATAATATTTATAGTCCTCTGCGAGTTGATAATGGCGAATACCGCAGCCGAAAGAACGATGGGATATTTACAAAGTTCAACGAATTAAGAAACCGAGGCTAGGTTACTTCATGTGGTCCGGATGGATAAGAATACTACAACTTTGAAAGCTTTCGATGCAGTACACCGGTGGAAGCAGGGAGATCTCCCTATGTTGGATAGACCATGTGGAGATGGGCATGGCTGTAGTAGGTATTTCCTTTGCAGAACAGGGACTTCCTAACGGCACTTTACAACTACATCTATATAAAATTCAGCGCACTCAACAACTGAAACCAGCTGATTGTTGACAATCAGCGAATATAGCTTTATTGCGAGAAAAATTTCCCGGACAAGTTATCTCTCTTCTGGGCGATGAGAATTGTCCATCGAGATCGTGAGATTTGACACCGTTGGAATTTTTCAGTGGGGCTACGCGGCAGTTTATGCTTTCTGGGTGGCTAAGATACCACCCAGCATGTACCAAAACATGGACGAAATTTACCTCAAATATAATGTCACGGTTCAAACTTTACAATAAAAAAAATGTCATGGATTAAATGTGTTTTATTTAACTTTCTTTTCAAAACCCCAAAATGGATGAGCCTTCACTAGAAGAATTTTTAGACTATTTTTTACATTGAATAAAATAGTTGGCGTTAAATACGTACCCCACGTAAAAGGATCACCAATCACTCAGCGATGAAGGGATTTTAGGCGGAGCTCCTTCTCCTGCAGTTATTCAAAGCCGCTTCCAAACGGCTGATGGATTTTATGAAGAGCATTTATTCAAACTCTGAAACTCACTTGGAGGGTTTGGCGAGCCCAATTTTTTAAAATCAATTTAATGTTCCATTTTACTTAATTTTCTACAATTTCGGGTATTGGTCGGACCAGGACTACATCACTGGCCGTCCGAAAGGCGGTACGTAGCGATCCATCGAGATCGTGCTATTTGATCCATTTCCATCAATGAATTGAGTGAATTAGTCAAAGGTTTTCGCAGCACAAACTCCAAGAGAGCAAGATGACAGTTGGTCAGAATTATATTTAAATGTATATTAAAGGAATTTAGATAATAAAGACATCCTAGGATGATTTAGTAGGTGCAGGGTTTTCCACTTGGAAGTGTTGTTTAGATATTCAAAGAAAAATGGCATTTTATGAGATCGGATCGGATGTTTATTTCAAAATAAAAAGGAAGATATGACATAAAAGCAAATCCCAAAAGCTGACATATGCCCTCAATAGCTACACGCATTGCTTGACGTTGGCCTGTTCTTTTACGTTAAATAACAAGTCTCCAAAGAACAACGAGGAATGAACAAACCTGGGTTTTCTTCAATACTTTCGCAGCAATATTCTCAGTTGTTCATGCGTCACTAACTTGTCAACGTTTTCTCCTCCAATTTCTGACCGATAAGGTGCCTCACGACGACCGAAAAATGTTTTAGTTTTTGCGAACCGTCTCTTCCACTTTTTCATCCTTTTTGAATTGTTTATCGTTCCATTTTTGTTGCTGGCGTAATTTTCACTTATCAAATGTGACATCTGTTGGAATAGCGGAATAGCAGAATATTCAAAATATCACCTCCCACTTGAAAACCCTATACATGGGCTAAGTTAGCCGGGCACAATTTGTAGGGTTGACGAGAATCGACTTGAAATTCCAAAGATTAATTAGATTTAAAATTTTAACTGTTTCGTCATCGAGTTTGTTGGTTTTGGTGGGAAATATTCAAAGTTGTAGCAAAATGCTTCACATAGAAATAATAATATTTTAGTATTTAGGGAAGATATTTTCTAGCTTAGGATTACGATATGAAAACTCTATAAGCAGGTCACAGTGAACTAGCCTGATTAAATTTGTTTTTATTGCCTACTATGTACATATATAATGAATTATAGAAAAAGAATAAAAATATGTGTTAATAAATGAAACACGTAGTGCTATTTGTTTATAGTATTATATAAGACAAGAAGAAATCTTAAGAAGCTTGACTGGTATTAATTAAAATATTTTCACCATTCACGATTGGGCATCAGAGACTAATTTATGCGATTTGTTTATGGTTTGATTTGCTTCAAAGTTGGTACATAGATGGCTCTTTTACTTGGATTACCAAGAAGACTGCTCTCCGAAAAGTGGACTAGGAGCCGACCTTTTCGAATGGATTATTATTTTTAGGCTGCGTGCGGCTCGGCGGTTTGCTTCGGAGCATTCATATTGCCATTTCTATATGTCGTATACATAAATGTCCGAGGAGTGTGTGGTGATTCTTAGCAATGACATGGAAAAGAGACCTAACCATCCTTAACAATGTAGTCAAGCTTTGTAATACAATTGATTGATTTTTCGGACCCTAAAATATTAGATTCAATGAGGGTGGTCAAGCGCATTGGAGAAAATAATTAGGAAGAGCCAAACAGAAGAGCAGAAGCGTGGACGTTGATCAATCGATTTCGAGAATCTGCGAGATAAAGGATTCCCGGCTTTCGTCCGTGCATATTCTGCAAAGTAGCAGATACATGTACCTTGTCAGCTCTTCACCGCCATGTTTGAATAGCATTGCCGGTAGACCGTCAGCTTCAGCTGCTTTGTTGGATACTCAGTTAACTCTAGCCATCGGTTACTAGATCACACCTTTGTGTCTGCTCCGGTATCGAGAACTACCCTTATCGGTCCTTCTGAAATCAAGAACCATTTTTTCGGTATCCAGTGAAGTCATTCAGCCTTAACCCATTTTAAGATATTTCGTTGTGGAGGCTGAATTGTGCCGACGATTGTACCCAAAATACCTTCTCTGCTCACCATGGCACCATCGACATGCGGAATTTTCACATCGTGCAGCGGGCAGCGCTCATGAATACGCTCCAGGCGTTCATAAAAGGTATCTTTGGTCAAATCATCCTTTTCTTCCGGGAGGAGCGTGGAATCAAATCAACGATATGTTAAAGTGAGACGTTTATCCACTGTGGTAAGCGCCAGTACTCGGCGGCGGAGTCTCTCTGCCACTACAAATTCGACACCTAATTTGCGCTTCTTTATTTGACTATTGACTATTTGACTATTTAACAAGAATTTATTCGCTTCCATCTTTGTTCAGTCTATGGCCTTTTTTCGTACGAGGACATCAACTTGCTGAGTAGCGGGGGCCTTCCCAATTCCAGGTGCATGCCCTTAAATCGTGATTATTAAATCGTCATCAGAAGGGGTATCTAATCTGAACATTGGAGCTGGTTTATACGTTGCAGGTTCTATACCCAGCGCACAACATAGTTGGGAGAGTAAGTTTACAGTTTTTACACATTTACATAGCGAGACGCTTATTTCAAGGCGGACGCCCGCTCCCAGCCGCGGCTTTAGTGGACAGCCGCTGCAATAAAGCTTCAGCGTAACCTTAAACCGAATAAGTCGCAGTGACTCTACTGAAGCTTTCTCTCTTTTAGCCGTGACACAAGACACCAGACGGTTCGTTACCGCGTCTTACACATCTTCCCAGGGTGCGCGAATTGGACGCAAGAGTGGAATGGAATATAGCCTCCCGACTGTTACGGCATACCCAGAAGCTTGACTACACTCCGTAACCCAGTAATGCTACATATTCATATCAGTGGAGTCTAAATTTTTTCTCCGAACTAAGGTTAAGGCAGCAGTTGAGCCAAGAATAAATATTTTAGAAATAATACCTTTGCAGTCTACATTATTTTTATTTATATTATTCACAAAAGATATTTTATCCTACAAGCTGACCAACAACAGAAAGGACAGCCTTCGCAATGGGGATGGCGACCTTTCCAACCTTCTTTGCAATCGGGACAGCTTTTTTAACTGCGGTACCAATACTCCGTTTAACCACAATGGAATCTTCGGCTGTTGGTGCACCTACTACACACTGAGGAGGTAAACATTTCACAATTATTCAAATTGTACCCTTAACAGGTTTTTTGCTTTTAGGTGCACTTACATGGAAGGCAATGAATGCAAGGATGCAGATTAGGAAAACAGCTTTAAGGTTGGCCATGGTGAATTGACTTCTGATTTGGCAAAAGGTGTGATCCTCGTATTTATACTAAATACTTGATTACAGTAACAGTGAAAACTACAATTATCCCTGAGGCACGATTCGGTACTTCGCAACTTAGGATCGTAAATAATTTATTGTGCTATATATATAATATACAGAATTTTAAAGTGCACGCGTAAAATGATTTTGGATGATCTAGTTTTTTTTATCGAGATATCTCTCCAGGAGCATTAGCTTTTTTCTTGACGGTAGGGATTTCTTATCTTTTAAGGCTTAGCATTAGTCCCTTTGGCTCCAGAAGATCGGAAGTGTGGGTCGTGTAGACCTTCTCGTTCCAGTAGTGGCTGCTTTGTAGGGTCGTGTGTAGCAGCTACATTTTTACACGATCAGGAATCCGAGACTGTTTTGTTGTTCTTCGTCTCTTATCTGGTACTTTGCCCACCTACTAAGACAAGATTTTTCGCTGAACAAAAAGAACGGTGGATGACATATCATGTCCTGGTTAAGAGTAGTCTGTCTTCGCCTTTAAGATTTGAGAAAAAAAAATAAAAGTTGTTAATTGTACATAAAATCATTTTACGTAAGCAATTTAGAATTCAGTAAAATTTGTATGACTATGTTCGATAGTGTCGAATCGTGCCCTGGTGATAATTGAATTTTTAACTCCCTCTACAGGTATGCAGTTAGTATAAATAGCAGCGTCACAGCACCCACAAAATCAGAAGTAAATTCACCATGGCCAATATTAAAGCTGTTTTCCTGATCTGCATTGTTGCATTCATTGCATTCCATGTAAGTACAGTTGAAAGTCAAAAATCAGGGAAAGTATAAAATTTTATTTCCCTTTCCAGTGTGTAGTAGCCGAACCTACTGCGGAAGACTCCGTTGTGGTTAAGCGGAGTTTAGGTGGTGTGATTTCAGGAGCAAAGAAAGTTGCCAAGGTCGCCATACCCATTGGAAAGGCCGTCCTACCCGTTGTGGCCAAACTTGTAGGATAAAATAGAAATTGAATTTATGACCAAAAACGCTCATGAGAAATTAATAAAAAATAAATATAGTTTGCAAACGAAGAGATACAACAACGGAGTCTTTTAATTACGACATAGATACTTGGTCCAAAAAAGCCATTGTGATATCGCTGGGAGGTTCCTATCACTCACTTAAGTGTACGAACCAGTGTGTGTTAAAGCAAGAAAGTCACATAGGCAATGTTCAACTGGCTCTTATTTTTCTCCTTTTCCCTTCATCTGCTAGAAAAACCATTTGATTGAAGCCTCAAAAGAAGAGTGTCCTGGTATTATACCTGTCGCTACACTGTCTGCAACTCTAAGCAAATCCAACTGATCATCTTGACTGACCGTGGTGACCACATTCAACGGCCTAATGTTTGTTTTTTAGCAAAGTATTTTGGCATGTGCTTTGCCTTGGACACAGCAATGCTTTGGTGGGCTCATGCTCGTATTAATTAAAAGAATCGCCAATATAGCCGAATCAACGATACCGCGCCATGCTTGTTTGATGACAGGAGATATTTGATTTTCTTCTCTAAATGAATCTGCCTTATGGTTTGCTTTTTTACCCAGTCCTTTGATAGAAGAACTCACAGCACCGATGTTTAGGCCAATAATACTAATAACATCTGGGTACCAGCAGTTGCACACACTTATAGATGATTGCTTTGTATGATCGTATTACTTTCTGCAGCAAAATATATTAAAGAAGTCACACGATAAGGAGTCCCCTTAGCTGAAACCTCGTTTGGTAGCAATTGACCCGGGGGACCTTCCTTGGTTGTTGGCTAGCTTATCAATGACTTCATACTCACTAATCTCGGACACATGCGTTTTGCTTCGCTCTTCAGGTATCGGTATATATCCCAATCCCGCAAGTGTTGTGGTTGATTGCCAGGTTGCCAGGTTGCCAGGTAGACAGTCTGTTTTCTCTCCACTGTATTTTAATATTCCTCGTTGTACCAGCTCGTAGCAGCTGTAGGTAGAATAATTAATAAGTTTTTAACGAGACCTTCTCTTTTTCCATTTAGAGCTTGCTTTCACCCCCAAAAAGCATAAACTACTTGATCTAGCAAAACGGCCTAACACGGCAAATTTTTGTTTCGGTCCCACTTTCCGAAAATGTGCGATGTTTGCGTAAGTGGAAAAATCAGTTAATCTTTCAACGAGAACATAGTTAAAGTGTACTTTGCGACAATAGAAACGTGACTCCACAATTTACCGAAAGGCAAGCGAAGCAAATTATCGTTTTAACTCTATAAATACTGACTTCTCATCAGAGATAATTAGGCATTGCGAGCAGCGTCTAACTGAAAACAAAATAGTTGCGATGTATAAAGTTATTCGTATTGTATCGCCACTTTTATTAGCGGTAATTATAACAGTAGTTTAGTTAAATATATTTTCTAACCGTTACAATATCTTTAGCCAAAGGTTTTTGGTACGTTCGTGCCCACTGCTGAATCTAGTGAAGCTGTCGTACCAAAACGTTCACCACTTCTCTTGCCCCCAGGCTAAGGCAAAGTTCGATTGCCGGCTTAAAAAAAAAATTAGAATTTTAGTATTCTGAACAGTTTTTCTAAAAAAAAAGATATTTTTAGCATAATAGTTTGATGTCAGGTGGGTTCTGAATATTCACTTGAAACTCCAGGCGAAAAGGCTCTTCATAAAATTCTTACTTTATATCCCCTTAGCTTAGCAATGGCCATTAAGCAGTAAATTTAATTCCAAAAGTTTGGAAAGTTAATGGGGTCGCTTTCAGCACAGAATTTAAAACCATGGAGTTTAAGATGGTTCTAATAAGAAATTTTTTAGGTTCTTAGGTATTTAATCATAAATTGACAATCTGTAATAAAAATCATTTTAAAATGTACGAAAAAGAAAGTAAAGTTTCCCACATATTAGCCTAGACAAGGAGCTTTCTATGTTTCAAACTTCAAGCATTTCGAAACTTAAATATAATATGAAAATATTTAATAACAAATAATTCACGTATAACGTTAGTGACACGATTGGTATTAACAGCAGTGACGTGAGTTCTGCTCTCTCCAGAGAGAATAAACACAATACGAAATATCTGCTATTTTCAAACGTCAGCGCATTTGCAACTCTGCTCTCACGTCACTGTTGACAATCAAAACTTTATCCATCGCTGTCAAGAGGCAATACTTTGTCTTGAGTATGCAATTGAAAATAAAGTCCTCTCCCGACAAACAAAAACCAAACACCATGGTGCGTAGGCACGGACGATAACAGCATTTGATGGATCGACATTAGGAGGTTTTACGAGAAAGATTTTGCACAAGATATATGGTCCTCTACGATTTGGGAACGGCAAATACCGAAACCGATGAAATGACGAGCTGCTCGAGATATACGGTGACATTGGCATAGTTCAGCGAATCAACGACAGCGGCTAGGTCATGCGGATCAGTTGGTTAAGAATACTCCAGCTTTGAAAGTTTTCGTTGCAGTACCAGACGATGGACGCAGAGGAATAGAAAAACCACCACTCTGTTGGAAAGACAAAGTAAAGGAGGACCTGGCTGAACTTGGTACTTCCAATTGGCGCCAAACATCGAAATAAAGGAATGAGTGGCTCCAACCAATAAAACATACCTCGCACAAATACTCTATATTGTAGAAAAAAAATTTTAATTGTTGTTAATAGTTGGGCAGTAGAGGTTTGATGATAAGAAAGTGTAATAATTTTTCCGCGAAAAAAAGTTATTAAAATTTATGACGGCAGCAAAAACGTGATTCTTCAATTTTCCGAAAAACGTGTCAGACAGACGTTGCCTACTGTCCTCTATAAATACTGACTTTTCCACAACGCAAGAACGTTAACAATTTCATTCAGCGCTCAACTGAAAACAGTATAGTTACGATGTATAAAGTATATTTTTTGTGTATTGCCTTACCACTTTTATTAGCGGTAATTATAACTGTAGTTTAACTAAATATATTTACTAACCGTTGCAATATCTTTTGCCATAGGTTTTTGGCATGTTCGTGCCCTCTGCTGAATCTAGTGAAGCTGTCATACAAAAACGTTCACCACTTCTCTTGCCACCAGGCTGGGACAGAGTTCGGTTGCCGTTATTAAAAAAAAAATTACCAAAACTGCCACCCAGCGCCTGAGATCCAGAGGCAGAGCATGTAATAAAAGAAAAAAGTTGTCTAAGAACTGAAAATGAAATAATAAAACAATAACTAGAGCAAACTGAATTTTAGTATTCTGAACAATATTTCTTAAAAAAAAGGTGTTTTTAGCATAAAAGTTTGATGTAAGGTGGGGTCTGGATTTTCACTGGAAACTCCAGGCAAAGAGGCTCTTCATAAAATACTTACTTTATATCTCCTTAACTTAGCAATGGCCATTATGCAGTAAGTTTTGATTCCAAAAGTTTGGAAAGTTAATTTAAAATTAAAAAAAAAATTGTAATTGGGTTCGCTTTTAGCGATTCAGGAATTTAAGATGGTTCTAAAAGAAATTTTTTAGGTTTTTAGGTTATTTATTCGTAAATTGACAATCTGTAATAAAAATCTTTCTAAGAGGTCTGAAAAACAAGATAAGTCTCCCACATATTAGCCTAGACAAGGAGCTTTCTATATTTCAAACTTCAAGCACTTCGAAACCAAAACATAATAAGAAGAAAAAAAAATTAATAACAAATAAATCAAGTATACGTTATTGACACGATTGGTATTAACAGCAGTGACGTGAGTTCTGCTCTCTCCAGAAAGAATAAACGCAATACGAAATATCTGCTATTTTCAAAAGTCAGCGTATTTGCCACTCTGCTCTCACGTCACTGTTGACAATCTTACTCGCAACTTTGCCTATCTGCTGTCAACAGGCGATCCTTTGTCTTGAGCATGCAATTGAAAAGTAAAGACCTCTCCCGGCAAACAAAAACCAAACTCCACAGATCGTGCTATATGGTGCGTTAGGAGGTTTTAAGAGAAAAGTTTTGCGCAGGATATATGGTCCTCTACGAATTAGAAACGGCAAATACCGAAATCGATGAAACGACGAGCTGCGCTGCTGAGATAAACGGTGACATTGATATAGTTCAGCGAATCAAGGACAGCGACTAGATCATGCGGATCGGTTGGTTAAGAATACTTCAGCCAAGCGCTAGACGCAGAGTAATAGAAAGACCACCACTTATTTGGAAAGACCAGTTAATGGAGGACCAAGCTGAACTTAGTACTTCCAATTGACGCCAAACAACGAAATAAAGGAATGAGTGGTTCCAACCAGTAAAAAATGCCTCGCACAAATGCTTTATATTGTAGAAAAAAAATTTTTAATTATTGTTAAGAGTTGGGCAGTAGGAGTTTGATGATAAGAAAGTGTAATAATTTTTCCGCGAAAAAAAGTTATTAAAATTTATGACGGCAGCAAAAACGTGATTCTTTAATTTTCCGAAAAACGTGTCAGACAGACGTTGTCCACTGTCCTCTATAAATACTGACTTTTCCACAACGCAAGAACGTCAACAATTTCATTCAGTGCCCAACTGATAACAGTATAGTTACGATGTATAAAAAATATTTTTTGTGTATTGCCTTGCCACTTTTATTAGCGGTAAATATTAGTATTTAAATGAAATTTAATTTAAAATATTTTTTAACCGATGCAATATCTTTTGCCCAAAGGTATTGGGTATGTTCGTGCCCGCTGCTGAAGCTGCAGAAGGTGTCATACAAAAACGTTCACTAATCTTTATATCAGGCAGTACAGACAAGCCATTCAATCCGTTTCTTTCAATATTTCGACGGAAAAATGGTGGCAAATAATAAAAGAAATATTATTTTACCCCTTTGGCCTTACTCTTGAAAACAGTTGGAATAATCTTATTGTATATTCAGGTATCAATAAAAGAAAATGAATAAAAAAAAATTGGTTTACGCAAATTAAATGCCGTTATTTTTTTATTAATTTAATTAAAATGTTCATTCTTTAAATTGATAACGGAATAAGCTGTAGGTTCTTCCATTTATTGGAAAACATCACGACGTACACCACAAATTAGAGAAGGAGCTCTGCTGAAAATTGTTTTAGC